ACTTCAAGGCGCTAGTCGTCACTTATAAAGCCCTTCATATGAGGGTTGACTCAGCCTTCCATCCTTCCGAGGTGGGTAAAATGAGGACCCAGATTGTTGGGGGCAATATGCTGACTCTCTGTAAACCGCTTAGAGAGGCCTGAAAGGCCTATGAAGCGGTATATAAGTCTACTGCTATATTGCTATTGCTATTATTCTCCAACTGAGCTGGCCATTTGAATTTGAATTGAATTGAATTTATTGCACTTATATGCCGCCCTTTTCCCCGGAGGGGACTCAGGGCGGCTCACAATCCAAATTTCTTTCCTTTCTTTCTTTTTCCTCCAAGGTTTTTTTTAAAAAAAAAATACAAATTATACATATTATAGGTCTTTTCTTTTACATCCTCTCATTTTTACATCATAGCTTCGTTTTCGCTTTCAGCCAAATTATTCCCGTCCACCATTTTTCATCTTTACGGTTATTTTTTCCCTTAATACGTAAACAATATCTCCCATTGCCCCTTCAAAGTTACACCAAATTTTCATTTCTCATTTTCTCCATTTGTGTACATTAGTAGACTAAGGAGAATAGCAGTAAGATTGTTATCGTTCTGTAATTAAATAAGAAATAAAGAAAGGATATTCTATTGTTAAGGGGAGAAGAAAATCTGAAAGAAATGCTCTTTGTGCTTCAATTGAATTAGAGGATGTTTATAGCAAAATATGCCAACGGCCATTTCTATGCTTTCGAGCAGGTGTCCTTCTCTCCCCCCCTCACCTGGGCTAGCTGACCCTAGATTCACCTGAAGCAGTTTAATCCCTTGATCTGAATTGGAACTCAGTTCCTTGGAATCACGAAATCCGACTAGCCGAGCAAAGGGGTATTGGTTTCCCTCCCTCCCCACTCCTTCTGGAGGTCTGTTTTCTCCCCAAAGAATTCCCTGTTCTTGAGAACATCTTGGTTTTGTGTGTGTGTGTGTTTGTGTGTGTTTGTGTGTGTGTGTGTGTGTGTGTGTGTGTGTGTTTTGCTTTCATCCTGTTGGATGAAAAATACCATCCCTGGCAGGGTTTTTTTTTTCTGCCTTTGGCCCCACACTCATTCATTCTTATTCTGCTCGGCTGCCTTCACAGATGGGGGAGGAGATAAATTTGGCTCTGATAAGTGAATGAAAAATCACCGAAGCTGGACAGGCTTCAAGGTGCAGGGAAGGAGAGAGAGGAGGAAAGAGGAGAGGGAGGAGAAGAGAGAGAAGAGAGGAAAGAAGAGAGAGAGAGAGAGGAGGGGTCAGTTTCATAGCACGTACGTATATAGAATAATAGAACTGGAAGGGACCTTGGAGGTCTTCTAGTCCAACCCCCTGCTCAAGCAGGAGATCCGATGCCCTTTCAGATAAATGGTTGCCTCGTCTCTTCTTAAAAATCTCAAGTGAACAGATCAACCACAACTTTGAAGGCAACTTCTGTTCCTTTGGTTGATTGTTCTCACTGTCAGGAAATCCCTCCTTATTTCCAGGTTGAATCTCTCCTTGCTCAGTTTCCATCCATTATTCCTTGTCTGGTCTTCGGGTCTTTTGGAAAAGAGCTTGAGCCCCCTCCTCCTCTCTGGGGCAGCCCCTCAAATACTGGAAGATGCTCTCCTGCCTCCCCTGGTCCTTCTCTTCCCTAGACCAGCCAGGCCCAGTTCCTGCAACCGTCCATCGTGTGTTTTAGCCTCCAGTCCCCTCATCATCCTGGTTGCTCTTCTCTGCACTCTTTCCAGAGTCTCAACCTCTTTTTTATAGCGTGGTGACCAAAACTGGATGCGGGATTCCAGGTGTGGTCTTACTAAGGCTTTATAAAGTGATACTAACACTTCACGTGGCTTTGATTCCATGCCTCAGTTTATACAATCCAGAATAGAATTGAACAGAACGGAATTATAGAAGAATGGAATAGAATAGAATTAGAGAAAAATAGAATAGAATTATAGAAGAATAGAACAGAATTAGAGAAAAATAGAATAGAATAGAAAATAGGATAGGATAGGATAGGATAGAATAGGATAGAATAGGATAGAATAGGATAGAATAGGATAGAATAGGATAGAATAGGATAGAATAGGATAGAATAGGATAGAATAGGATAGAATAGGATAGAATAGGATAGAATAGGATAGAATGGAATGTTTATACAATCCAGAATAGAATAGAACAGAACGGAATTATAGAAGAATAGAATAGAATAGAATTAGAGAAAAATAGAATAGAATAGAAAATAGAATAGGATAGAATAGGATAGAATGGAATTCTTTATTGGCCAAGTGTGATTGGACACACAAGGAATTTGTCTTTGGTGCAGATGCTCTCAGTGTGCATAAAAAGACAAGATACATGAGGAAGGGGAAAAAGGCAGGAAGGAAGGCAGGAAGGAAGGCAGGAAGGAAGGAAGGAAGGAAGGAAGAAAGGAAGGAAGGAAGAAAGGAATAGAATAGAATAGAATAGAATAGAGAACAGAATTGAATTCTTTATTGA